TTAAAATTGAATTCGGATGCATTTTTTATTCAAATTCTGATGGCACATATTTACTTCCATAGACTTGGAGCCAAAGCAGAACATTTTGGAAACGTACAAACAAATTCATCAGGTGTCCCCTGGATGAGCTGAAGAAGTTATATATAGCATAGAATAGAAAATATTCAAAAGAGACGAGACCAAAATCAGAAATGGATTACAAAAATGCCTCGGCTGTTGAGGGATGCAACTGCAGCAGCAATTAATTTGTTTTTTTTTTTTTTTTTTTTTGCATATTCCTTTGTATGGTAAACTGAGATACATGGGTCTGACAATCTGGACTGAAGCTACTGGCCTTTGCAGCTCAGTCTTGCAAATGTTTTGATATATGAAAATGGAAAACTTCACAAGAAGAAAAAATATCCTCATAAAGTTAAACACACCTCGCCCACAAATTCCCAGCCCATCCATAATTCTCCTTTAAAAATCGAAGGATGAGTAGAGTACCTTGGTCAAAGTTAAAGGAAAACAGACTCATTTGGGTAAAAGACAGGACAACCAATCTTACACTACAGATTGTCAATACCACAAAAAGCTTCCATCTTCACCCCCTCAAGTCCTGATCTTAACTAGCCAGGCCAGTTTTCAAGCAGGTAGAGCACCGTTTGTGGTTAAGCTGACCATATCTCTTGACAGAGTGAGGAGCCACAGGTCACGGTCTTGAAGGGAAGGCAATTTGCAGACACAAGAACACAGCTGCATCCGACATCTTGGAGATAAATGGAGCTTTATGTGAATGCGAATTTGATTTAACACTAGAAAGAGACAATAGAATATAAAGGAACAATATAACATTTACAGCATGTTGATGCAGACGACACTTAAAACCAGGTATGTAAAAAGATTTGAACTCTGAACTGGAAGATTTGGGTAATGATTTTTCTGATATTCTATAAGCATTACACAATATTTCCCTATATCGTTCGTAGTCTCAATGTTCTCACACGCCTTTTCAGCTTCACCTGCAAAAGGTTTCAATGCCACTGAGGTCAGGACTTTGTCATCTTCCCCCCTCTTGCATTCCCCTAAATGGTTGGAAATTAAATTCTAGTTTCATTTCATGGAACCACACGTAATTTAAGAATTAAGTTCTTTTTCCCTTAGTCGTTTACAGAATATAATCCGTGAGGCTTCAGATTCAGCCAGCATCTTCACGAGGTCGATACACGATTTTACCCAAACATCTGTCGGACACAGAACCGGTCCCTTCCTGAATGGTATGATGCATATAGACACTGTCACGTTGCTTAAATTGTCAAACAATTATTTGAACAGTTGAGTGTGACCTTCAAACACCTGGAAATTGTGCCCAGGGATGAATCACACTTGTGAAAATTCACGATTCTGTTTCTGACATCTTGGCTGATTTCTTATTATTTTACGATGATGTCACACAAGGAAGCAGTGTGTCTGAGGTGTTGCCTTAAAATACACTCACAGACATAAACTCACATTTAACTCAGATGTTGTAAATAATCCAATTGGAAGCGTTCCCAAATTGGTTAGACCTACTAGTTTTAGTGTGATTAAAGCTCTGATTCTGAAAGTAATAAACAGTCTCTTATGATTTCCTTTTTCACAGTGTGTGCAAAACACTTTTCTTTTTAAATTAAAGCAGAATTGTGTTTACATTGTTTCGATCCCAATATAGCCTGATTCTAAACCAGCGTTTTTCTGTCTTCCAAAACAAATCTTTTCCTTTTCACCTCTATCTACTTCTGTCCCCATTCCCTCTTTGTCTGAGCCAGTGTTTGGCTGACACACACAGATCATGATCATCATTATGCCAACCAGACATCTGATAGGGAATTTAGTGCCACAGATCACACACACACACAAGCAGCTCTCCTGTGGAATCTCTCACTGCATCAGCTTACAGACAGTACAGCCGTCACCAATTACGTGGTCGATGTCTAACCCACTGATACCGCTCTGCTGCTGTCGAACCCTGCTGCTACCTGTGAATGTCATGCTTGTTAGTTTCTCTTTAATGAAACGAGCTTCAAGATGACACGGGCTCCACTTTCCAGACTGTAATTTCGACCGCTGGTGAGCTGTCCGATCAAACCGAGGAGAAGGTGCTGACCTCGCATTGTCTCGTAAGATGATAAACGTGCTATGGACAGTTGTTTCAGTTTGAAAATCGAGACTGAATTTAGGGCCAAATATTTGAGAAAAATACATTTCTAACAGGAGCTTGGAAAACTGTTGGACATATGTTAGTTTTTGCACTCACAGTGTTGAATATGAAACAGTTTAATAACTATTCAAAAAGCAGCCTCCCCTGCCACTAGACACAACTCACTTCTATTTTGATTGGTTCACAGCTTCTCTGTTAACCTGAGGATCTCCGAAGCATAACACCACAGGTCTGATGATACAATTGCAAAGTCGATCATCGACATTTAGTGTTAGCTATGGGCATTCTGTATCTCTCATATTAGCCCAACAACAAAACAGATTGGGTTCACATTGAGGAGGTAATTCTTCTGAATCGCACGCCTTTCGATCGGTTTCTCCATTGTTGCCCATGTGGGCATTGAACTCCCTTAGGAGAACCACTTAATCCCAAAATGGCACCCCTTTTCAGGACACCATCCAGAGAAGGTTTGATAATCTAAACTACTGTCTGCTTGCACCCTAATCCTGCAAAGAGGTAACACCCTTTTCATGTATTTTACAACACTTAATGCCTGAGTCATTTTCCCAGTCTATTTAAAGTCTCTTTTCTACACCATAACCTCCTCTGGGCTGTGGGTTAACAGCTCTTCGGGGACATGTGCGGCACGGCATATCTCCCTGTGTTTGGGCTCGATAGTTTGGTAGTTTATACAGATTTCTTTCTTCTTTCTGTTATTTCTTCTACAACCAAATTTTTATGTTGAAAATAAAGATCGCTTTTTCACTTCAATCCAGTGAATTACTGTGAGTATAAAAAGACGCTTCTGGTAAGAGTCAGAAATGATTGGTAAAGGTTTCTCAGTTTCTGCTGTTATTGTGTTACTGCAAAGGAACGGTACCGTTCACCTTTTATTCTGTTTTCCAGAGGCACTATAGAATCTGTAGAATATTTTTCTCCCAAATCCCAGAGCCGCACAGGCAAATGTGACATGCATAGAGCACAGGCTGCAGGCAGACATTTTACCTCTCGTATTACTTCCATTCAACCTTCTGAGTGACCCCTTACAACCAAGGAATGTGAGCAACATGGCTTTCTTTGATCAGCTGTCAGATAGGGCTTTATCAGGGAGACCCATTAAAACTCACACTACTGTTCTGGTGCCTGCTTCCCTATCAGCTGTTTGTCAGAGAGAGCAGAAGGAATAACATTGGGGAGGGCAAAACAGGCTAGAACGAGTCAAGAGAGGAGAAAAGAGTTGACAAAGGAAGAGCCAGGCAATTACACAGAGGCGTGGGGAGGAAAGGAAACTGACACTAAAGGAGTTGAGGGCAAGGATGGTTGGGCATGTTATCTGCCTTGATTTACAGAGTTCTGTAGGGTATTCAACACTTTGTGCTCCAAACACCATCAACTTCTGCTGGACAAGAATTGATCGAGAAAGAGTCAGTCGCTGGAATATTTCAACACTGCACTCTAGAGGCTGAAAATGTAAACACTGACCACTTATAGTAAGAGTGCTACTATCATTTAAACAATTCTAAATTTTTCAAAACAGATTCCAAGAGGAAGCAGAACTTAATCTCACTACAACACATTTATATTTTACTTAAAAATATGAACGAGGAGATTGCGTGCTTCGTTTTGATCTGTGTCCAAGGACAAAATTACAAGATGCCACTGACTCCAACTCCTTCATTACACTCCTTTACAAACACCCCAGAAGACCACTAGATTAAACTTTAAGACCTTGGCAAGAACAAGAGAGGCTTAATTCAAAATAGTGCTGAGAAAAGCCAGTCTGCAAGAACAGCACAACTGCCCTCTGTGCATGAGTTTGACCGTATTCTTGCCTTTTGACTATTAAACAGAAGCTGCAATGCATTTCATGTATAAAACATAAAGGATACCGCTCGTCGTGCCCTTTGTTCTTTTTTTAGCCAGAAGTTAAGCCAAAACTTCAAGAGGTATTACGAGTTGTTAGCACTTGCAAGGTTGTTTGTAGCTCCAGGGTTCAGTGGTCAGCAGCGCAGCAGCATTTCATAAGTGCACTGGATCCACAGAAAAGTTATCCTTTTAAAATGTAGCTGACGTGTGTAAACTTGAAAATGATGCCGGCCGGCCAGGGATGTGTGCTGAAATATGTCATGCTGACGTTGCTTTGTGGTTGTAATCACAGGGAGAAGTCAGAACTCACCAAGGCTTTTATTCCCATAGGGACAGCTTGTCTTTCCAGAGTGAACACTCAAACTTTCCAGACAGAAAAATCCACTTCTTCACCTCTCAAGACTCTTGCACCACACCTTGAGGGCACGTTTGATCATCTATGTCTGTTATGTGCAAATATTACCTGTCCATTGTGCAGAACCTATTGGTACATTTGGAGACTTTCTTCTTGTCCTTCATACATTAACCACCAGCATGTAGGGAGGGTCGAATAATTGAAAGTCTTTTGGCTATGTGTTACTGCCCCCTGGTGGATAAGTCCTTTACCTACAGCTTTGGGTCTCATGACGGAACCTTAAAAGTAAAGGTATAATCTCTAATTTTCTTGAAGCAAGCTGGAATTTTACCAGCTTTCACAGCAATAAAGTTTTGTATCTTTGTATTAAAATTACTACCTCTTTTCTTCTGCCATCAAATGCTCTTTATTCTAATCAAGACCCAGCAGGACTCAGGCTAATTGCAGCTGTTCTCAGGCATATAAAGAAAACAAAACAAAAAAAAAAAAAACAGAATATCTATCATTTTTCAGCTTTATTGTTAATATATAGCTGTATTCAAGTATAAACGAAAAAGAAAAAAAGCTAACTCCATAGCCCAAATACAAACCCAGACATATCCTGGCATAAGGCAGCAGTGTTAATAACTGTGCCACCGTGCAGTCCTGTCCATCCATAAGTATGACATTTATTAATTACAGCATCAAAAACATTTTGTAAATAAAAACCGTGAGCCAGGAGGAAATAATTTCCTTCCTGTCAGAGACAGAGGCAACATTTATAACAGCATATATGATGGATTAGCTATCTGATAAATCTCCAGCCAACAAGAATTATCATTTAAAAGCTGTTATTCATGTTGTCATGAAATTTTTTTCCACATACTATATTTACATAAAACATAGTATATAGTAGTTCAGTTATGCTAGCTTGACTTTGACAACCTTAACATGTGGATGTGGTGTGGAATTCTGTTTCAGTTCAGTTAGAAAATAAAAGGCGACTTATACACCAACTCTGACAAATCATCAGTACAGCAGGTTTTAATGAGCTAATAGCTGCAGTAGCTAATCTAACACATTGATCACTTATTAATAATCGCAAAATAAACATCAAGCCATAAAAACATAAGACTGTAATGGACTGCATATTCTGATATTTTCTTTTTGTGGGGATATTATTAGTACTACTATTATTATTTAAAAAAACTATAGCAATAATAACAGTATTAAATTATAATAACTCTGTTATT